TAATGAAGGTCAAGGCCAAACATTGGCTTAATTACGACTGCCGCGCCGCTATCGTCAAGGGCAAGAAATGGGCAAGCTTAATTAGTGCTGGCACAGCGTTACTTATGATTACCTCTGCTAGTAACTACCTTCGTGATGGTAATGGTGGTGGTGGCAGTGGCNTATGGCTGCTGAATGATATATATTGCTGCTGAATGAAATATATGGCTGCTGAATGAAATATATGGCTGCTGAATGAAATATATTGCTGCTGAATGAAATATATGGCTGCTGAATGATTTATATTGCTGCTGAATGAAATATATTGTTGCTGAATGAAATATATGGCTGCTGAATGAAATATATGGCTGCTGAATGAAATATATGGCTGCTGAATGAAATATATGGCTGCTGAATGATATATATTGCTGCTGAATGAAATATATTGCTGCTGAATGATATATATGGCTGCTGAATGATAAATATGGCTGCTGAATGAAATATATGGCTGCTGAATGAAATATATTGCTGCTGAATGATATAAATGGCTGCTGAATGATATATATGGCTGCTGAATGAAATATATGGCTGCTGAATGATATATATTGCTGCTGAATGAAATAGATTGTTGCTGAATGAAATAGATTGCTGCTGAATGAAATATATTACTGCTGAATGAAATATATTGCTGCTGAATGAAATATATTGCTAAATACATGGGTTAGGTAAATTCACGAAGGGACAGTTAATTATTAAGTACACGTGGATTAGTGTACTTAATAATTTTAATTAGTGAACTTAATAAGTACACTAATCCGTAGAATTATTGTATTCGGTAAAGGTATGTATCGTTGCGTTACATCATTGATCATGAAGCCCAGCGATGATCTATCAGAGCGATGCTATCTTAAAGATTTAGAGGTCGCCGTGATAACCGTCGTCTGCTTAATGAAATTGCGCGGGTCGGGACAGCGGGACGCGTGGGCCTAGAGTTCTGGGCCCTTTGATTGTATGTATTCCTCTGCCGATGGGTGTTTGGTGTTTCATCAGCTTGGTATCCTGTGCACAATACTTGTGTTTTTCGTCGTATACATTTTATTATAGAGGATTTAGAAAGGATTGTCTGACTCGAGTGATTTAATAGATCAATAGGATACATGAAATAGATACGTTTCCTCTAGAGAGGCGTCGCTTAATGAAATTGCGCGGGTCGGGACAGCGGGACGCGTAGGCCCAGAGTTCCAAGGCGCGTGATAACGGGCTTCCGGGCGCCGCTTAATGAAATTGCGTAGGTCGGGACAGCGGGACGCATGGGCCCTGAGTTCTGGGTCCTTTGATTGTATGTATTCCTCTACCGATGCGTGTTTGGTGTTTCATCAGCTTGGTATCATGTGTGAAATAATTGTGGTTTTCATCATATATATTTTATTATAGATGATTTAGAAAGGATTGTCTGACTTGAGTGATTTAATAGATCAATAGGATACATGAAATAGATACGTTTCCTCTAGAGGAAAGCTTGGTTTACTGGCTATTAATGGAAATTAATTATTTAAAAAATTTAAAACCAGAAAAGATTTTTATAGCTCACATAGCATCGTCTTCTGATAAACTCAATTTTGGTGAGCCATTTCTTGCTATTTTTGGCACATATTATACACAAAAAATTATTTATTGGCGGTTGTTCAGTGGTCGCCGAATATATTATAGAAAGATTCTCTAATCTTGTAAATATCACAACAATCTTTCTACCATTTGGATTTCCTTAATTCATCTTCCGGATGAAAAATTTTAAAAATTCTAGAAGCACGTCAATTGGCGCTTGAAATTCGAGACACCGACAGATTTCCAGGATTGTGCTCTGATGGACGAAGCAATTAAATCCCGTTCTTTTATTTGCAACAGAAACCTTGCCATGGTTGCGCTGCATTTAAAACGCTGGACGATGGTGGCATTCTTGATGCTCGTTGATGGTGGCATTCTTGATGCACATTGATGGTGGCATTCTTGACGCACGTCGATGGTGGCATTCTTGATGCACGTCGATGGTGGCATTCTTGATGCACGTCGATGGTGGCATTCTTGATGCACGTCGATGGTGGCATTCTTGATGCACGTTGATGGTGGCGTTCTTGATGCACAACCATTGTTTCATTTTTATGCACGTCGATGCATTGATTCACCCTTGATGCACGTCGATGGTAGCATTCATTCATGATGCACATCCATTGTTTCATTTTTATGCACGTTGATGCATTGATGCATTCCTGATGCATGTCGCAGGAATGCAATTAGTTCGGCATATCGTCGACATCGTCAATTTTAGAGGGGATGCTTGCACGGTCAACAAATTACAATTTTTAATGGGGATTGTTGCATGGTAAACCAATGGCCCATTGTAATAGTGATGGTTACACGATAGAAAAATTGTAACTGGGATGGTTTCACTGTGAGGAAATGATCATTTTTAAATTGTTTGGTCTAACCATCCGACGGTTTGAAGTTTTATCAGTAGGTTTTTATCATAATATTCTGTTCCTATGGTTTATCAATTATCATCAGTTTGGGTCAATTATTACAGCCTTACTCAATTACTCGTGAACAACAATCGTGCTAAATGTGCGCGTAATTAACTGAAAAAGTGTGTAAAATATTCTTGAACCTGGTTTCTGAAGTTATTATCAATTTATATGATCTTTTCACAAGTTGAAATAATGAATTGCGATTTGTTAACATGCATTATTTATTAAGTAAGCAGGTATTGAACAAGTGTTATGCAAGTTTCATATGAAGTCATTCGTTTATTAAAAAATTAACCCTGCTTTTATTTACCGCTATGAAGAATGTGGAAAAATATAACTTTAAAGTTTTCCATCAATTTTTAATTTGTAAAACTTAATTAATTTAATTTTTTCTGGTCCAGCAAGGCAGCTCGTTTCTGATCAACGGAAGCGATCGATGTCTGAGCTGTCAACTGAAAGCAACGAACTTTAAGAAGGATTGGCCTGACTTCTCCCTTCCAATAATTGATTTTGAACATTTTCGCTGGCGAAAAAGGGTCCGATTTTTTGAAGTTTTGAACTTGGCTCAGGCAACTTGATGGATCATCGTATTACACGAGAAAAATTAAGTTCCTTGAGATACCGAACTTGGTTTGGTGTGTTTTTGATCAGCGAACTTATATATTACAACATAACGTTTAGCAAGTGTGATTTAAGAACTTAGATCTGCCGGATTACTCGGTCAATAAATTGTTCAAAAATTAACCGTTAAGGTACGTTAGAACTGTGTAAATATTGAGCTTAAAAGCCATTTCGAAACCTTAATTCGCTGACGAATTACGATTAACTAAATTCACAAGTCACTCAGAAGCGAATTTACTTTCCAATGGGTAAAATTGGAGTCGTTGTACAGAATAATATTGATCTTAGAATTGAACTAAAACTATGAATAGTCTAATATGAAGAATTTTACTTGAGGTCAGCTATTTTGTAATGCACAAGTATTTCCCGGTAAGAGAAATTTAACTTCGCTACGTGCACATAACGCCAGGCAGACGACAGATCTTATTTTCCAGGACATTTCTATGTTCACTACACATGCATCCCTGGCACAAAAACATTCATAAATATCATTACGCAAAGCAATATTCAGGTCCAACATCTCGTCATGAAATGAATAGTGCCATTGCACTGCGAAATTATATTATTATTCTTTTTGATACCAGCGCTTTGTAGGATTCTGTTTATAGGTTGCAATGTCGCAACACAATATATTTGCTACATAGTTTAGTTATTTATAAAGAATCAGAACGGTAGCGCGATAATTCTTGGCCAACAGAATCATGTTCAGTGCAAGATGAAGCTGTATAACAATAGTCCTGCTAAAAATAGTCTTTTAGGACGTTGTTCCACTGCCTGAAAACAGACATGATCTAGTTTCTGTATAATATACCATATATAATATCTCCATGAATTCTACGAACAAAAACTAAAAATACGCGAGCCATTGTCCCGATAGCAATGCACATATTGCACTTAAGTGCGTCATCCTGACCCAGTTTTGCCCGGCGCAAAAGCTTATTAACGCACTCACTTCTACTATTTTTAACAAAGTATGTCACTGTGCGAACAATATAATCCATTCGCGTCGAAGCGATGCACAATATCGGCACAGACATCGCACCGCGGTAATGCGATCACATCGGTGGGCGGGACATACATGGAGAGCGGCTTGATTATGCAGTATGTTTATCATAGATCATAGATCATATCATATCATGATAGATTATCATGCATATGAGGGCTTATCATGCATATGAGGGCTTATCATGCATATGAGGGCTTATCATGTATATGAGGGTTCATCATGCATAAGAGGTCTTATCATGCACATGTTGGCTTATCATGCATATGAGGGCTTATCATATATATGAGGGCTTATCATGCTTATGAGGGCTTATCATGCATATGAGGGCCAATCATGCATATGAGGGCTTATCATGTATATGAGGGCTTATCATGCTTATGAGGGCTTATCATGCATATGAGGGCCTATCATGCTTATGAAGGCTTATCATGAATATGAGGGCTTATCATGCATATGAGGGCTTATCATGCATATGAAAGCTTATCATGCATATGAGGGCTTATCATGAATATGAGGGCTTATCATGCATATGAGGACTTATCATGCATATGAAAGCTTATCATGCATATGAAGGCTTATCATGCATATGAGGGCTTATCATGCACATGAAGGCTTATCATGCATATGAAGGCTTATCATGCATATGAGGGCTTATCATGCATATGAGGGCTTATCATGCATATGAGGGCTTATCATGCATATGAGGGCTTATCATGCATATGA